CACGTGTGGTGACTAAGCATTCCGCAATTGTGCTTAGATTTGATTTCACTCATTCGTCGAAGAGCAGATTGCGTTAGCGAAACATAAAAACTATCGCTAGATAGCGCGTAAGATTATAGGACATTCTGCCAATTTAAAACCGGTATCCAATAGCGTATTAAAATCTGCCGATCGTGCCCAGCGCAAATTCTCAATGAAAGTCTTAGCAGTTTTTCTTTTATTTTCTGTTGCATTTGTCAGTGGCAATGTAAGGTAAGTGTATCAGTAAAGCTTCTAAATTTACTTGTCTCAGGAATATGTACAATCTTATTTCCGATGCCAAATAGCTGTGGAGATAAGAATTCAAAGTCTTTTCTTCTGAATAACCACAAAATATTGTTAATAAAAAGATTTTCAACAATACTTAAACCTATGCCTACAGTAGTAGAGAACAGATTATTTGATCGACAAAATAGTAAGGATAACTCGCGAGTTCCCCGTAACGGATAAAATTGATCATCAATGTTGCTGGTGCTGATCTGAAATGGTTTATTGCACATATTCACCGTAGATAGTAAAAGGTTGCGCATGATAATTTATCCTTCTTTAGTCTAAATTTCCTTTTTCTGGCGATAAATTCATAATAAGTTCTGTGGAAATTTCGGTATGAAAAAAATGTATCACAAGGCCCTGTCTAATTTATCATGTCATATACTTCAAAAAGACGAATAGAATAAAATGTGACTATTTTCTAGTTGTAAAATTTATTTACTTCTTGAAAGAACCAAACCACAAATGTTGTCCATTCCAAGAGTCATCGTTTTGCTAAGTAGTTTAATGTTAAGTTGTCTCATTATTCAAAATCATTTTATTTCAAGGGCTTCTGTCTGTGTATTTTTATGATTCCATGTAATATCCAAAGATGATCCATTGAGACATAGTCATGCTCCAAAAACAATTCGGACATATTTCTGGAACAGAATTCTCCTAATTTAATGCACCTGTAAGACTTGAGTTGCATTCATAGAATGGCGCAAACTTTGCGTCCTGAGTTAAAGTCCACAAGCAATGACGGTTTCTCTATGTTTATGAATAGCTCTGCTCGAAACTGTGACATCTAAGAGAGGTGCAAGAGGAGAATTGTGTAGGTCCTCAGTAATAAATACAGGAGACCCTAAATAATGTGTCCATTGTTTGAACGTTGTTAACCTTTTTAGTACTTCTTAATATCTTCTAGATTTAAATGATTTCTCTTGGAGAGCTATCTTAACCTTAGTCTCCCAAACAACACGATCTCATTTTTCCTCTTCGACACGGTAGAATGAGTTCAGAGTAATTGACTGGTTCAACCTTGACAGCAAAGTATTATTGAAATTGCTCAGATGCCATTTAGCTGAAGACTTATCTAATGAGATCATTGACACTCTAAGCCCAAATATGACAATTATCACCACATTAAGGTTTTGAAACAGAGGTACCATAAGTGCTTAACGGCAACGTTAAAGTTAAGGCGACTTTAACAGTCTAATTGACTGGCCCTTCGAGAAGAAAACTAAAGCTTAGAAAGTATTTGGATATAAAGAAGTTACATGACATGAAACAGTAGACACTTTTTTATGACACATGTAACATGGAAAAAAGTGTTTGTTGAGACTGTAAACTATGACATAACCAAACATGTGATACGGTCCTTCAAGCTTTGGTTTGCGGATGCCGAGCTAAAAGTGAAAATTAGAGTAAAAGAGTGAAATAAGGAACTCTGGGTGTAAAGTTATCCTCAAAACAGGCGGACACTAATGATGACTTTCTCAACAAAGTAGCTTGACAGAATAGACCACTGTTCTTTTCATGTTAAAGTTCTAGTTAAACAAATTGTGGTG